TTTGGAAGTTAAAACCAACAAGCTGGAAGGAGAAACAAGCACAGGTGACAGGATTTTGAGTGAACATAAAGAAGACACAGGTGATAAAGATACCAGCTTGACCAACAACAGGAAGCCTTAATAACTAAGAACAGGAGAAATCTAAAGGATGTCATTTCTTCCACTTATCTGGGCAGTATCATTTCATGAATTTCATACAATGATTCCCTTTTATAAATTTGAACAAAGAAAGAAGAAACATTGGCTCAGGATAATCTGGGTCCATTTTACTTCATTGGTTCTCATCAGCTGCGTACAGCCTGAATGTTTTATTAATAAGAATAAACAGTGTACAAATTTTAACAAACCTTTGTCTATTAGCAAGCATATTGTCAGAGCGTCATAGTAAACTAAGGCGTTGAGATATACAGGGCGTCTAAAGTGTTTCGACATACATACATATATGTGTATATATCTTGGTAGAGGGGAGTTTCTTGAAAAATAATTAACAGTTGTTTTGTTGGGGTGGTAACAAAAGAAATTTAGCAACAGTCTCGTGATTAGATAAGAGAAGATCAACATTTTAAAATTTCAGATGAGAAGCTGATGATGTAATACAGTGAGCAGAACTCAGAAGATCAAGAAAAATGATCTCTTAAGAGAGTCAAGCGAAAAATAAACGGGAGGGGAGGTAAGTGAAAAGATAAGTTAACAGAATTAACAAAATTAGAAAACAAAGAGTTACTAAGAAGTGAATTACCAGAGTAATTGAAGTCCAACAACGGATTCTTTTTGAACACAAAAGTCAGGCTTCAATCGTTTTATTGCTATAGCTTCAGCAAACCTGAGAAGACTTGAGGTACTTTGTCTGTTAATTATTTTGAATGATTCAAGCACATCTACTCGGTGTCCTGTGTCAATTAGATGTTTGGCGATTGAAGAGCTTAAACAATTCGGTCTCTTTAACCGCAGGCTCCTTGGTACATGTTCGCAGTTACATTGGAAGAACAGAGAGGAGGGCCTATGTCAGATTCTGCAAACATGTACCGAGGAACCTCCGGTTATTGCATTATCAACTTCTTATCTGACCTCATGTGCACTGAAATTTTAAAATGTTGATCTTCTCTTATCTAATCACGAGACTGTTGCTAAATTTCTTTTGTTACCACCCCAACAACACAACTGTTAATTTTTTTGAAGAAACTCCTCTCTACCAAGATATATACACATATATGTATGTCGAAACACTTTAGACGCCCTGTATATCTCAACGCCTTAGTTTACTATGACGCTCTGACAATATGCTTGCTAATGGACAAAGGTTTGTTAAAATTTGTACACTGTTTATTTTTATTAATAAAACATTCAGGCTGTACGCAGCTGATGAGAACCAATGAAGTAAAATGGATCCAGATTATTCTGCGTCAAAGTATCATTTCAGTCGTATTAATGGCCATGAATGAAGATGTTGAAACTAGGCAGGATTAAAATCACTGTTGTAATCTGGTACATTCAGCATAAGAAACAAGATCCGGATCTTTTTAACACTGATATCAAGTCAATTAGCGCTTCTATATGGTCCAGACACTCAGCACATGCATCATGAAAAGTATTCATAATAGACCACTGAATATGTTGTTTCAACAACTGCATACTTCGCTTGATAACGAAGTCTAGATGGTCGACAGGAAACGATAAGCAAAAAGAACTAGTTAAGGAACATATTACCACAAAATTTATGCACAGGGATATGGAGGTAGAATGAACGCACACTGATGAAGTCACTGTTAGACATCATACAACAAGCCTTAAATCGGAATTCGAGGGGTTGACAACAAGTATGGCTTGTCAGAGGTAATATGTAGGAGACCACGTGATAGCAGAAGATGAAATTTTGTAGGCAGTCATGGAAACAGCTAAAATAGACTGCCGCAAAGGAAGTGAAATGTCGATAAAGCTTCTCAAAGCCTACTATTTTGCACTCCAAACTCAAGGGTAAACTGATAATAGGAGTAATCATTTGTTCAATGTATTAAACAAATGTGGTGCGTTGATTTAAGATAGCCCTGGGCTCGAAACCCGCTCCACCTATTTCACCCTGGTCAGTTGGGTAGTGTCACCACCTCATAAACAATGTATTTTCACTTCATATTTGGGTATTTGAGACATTTGTTCCAAGCAGCTTGGTTCTAAGTGACGCGTTGTGCAGTTAGTATAATCCTCTAATGTCCATGATGAGTGAATATAATCCGCTTAACTGCATTTATTCGAAATCTTTGAATTTCAGTCTAATTGGCTGAATTGTCGTATACGGTCTTGGTCTCATAACCCGGAGGTCCTGGATTAGGTTCCTGGCGGGATCTGGGATGCGCATTGCTATCCACTGCGCTCAGATGCTTTATAATGATCTCTTTATCTGCTGTATTCATTCGTGACGAAAATTTAACGATTATAATTTACAAGTATTGGTATAATTTATCCAACATTTCCACAAATCTGACAATCTGAATCCTAGTAAGAAAGCCTCCACGATAGCCTTCAGGGCAATATGGTATTATCTGCCTCTGTTGGTTCACTGGGTTGATGGGCAGAGCATTGACATTTGAAACCAAAGGGGAGATGTTCAAATATCAGTGTGAGCACCACTACTCAATAGAATACAATTTTATCTATCTGAAGGGCCTTTAATAGGAAGAAGAGCGTCTTCTCGATTCCACTGTTAACCCTCCAGCAAACAAATAACATCCTTATAAAGTTAATATTAGCAATAAGGCAGTCGCTACAGTGAGTAGTCGAGTTAAATAAATACAATAAAGTTCATGTAAGTGTAGAACTCGTGCACTGTGGTTGAATACAATTCCATAATTTAAAACAATTAGTCCCTTTTATAAATTTGGATAGCGTTATTAGAAGACGGAGACTAACCGAAAAATGTGATGTATTCGCGCTACACATTTCTAACAATCTGATCACATATTTACTTGTCAAGTCTACAGAAAGCCCACTTGGACAAGGTAGCACCTTAATTTTCACAGTTTCTGTCCATTATAGTACAAGAGAGGTTTGGTGAAATGTCTGTTTAGGAGGATTCAACGTATTTGTACGGCTGATGTTATAGACAAAGAAAACGAAATATTGGTGGATACTCTTGTTGAAAACAGGTGTAGAAGTCAACTAGTCTCTAAACGTACAATCTATACCACCCCTTAGAAAAAGGTTTTCATCAGATTACCATATAACGGGGAAATAAACAGTGGAATTTTGAGACAAAGGTTGAATTCGATAATCTGTAGAAACTATTATGCAGCCCAGTTTGTAATTGTCGAAGAAGCTAAAATTATGCTCCACTGCAAAACCTCAAAAGTGCACAAGTGATCATGTCACATCTCATACTATTTACCAATTTTCATGTGTGTGGTCACACATACATAGGGAGGAGTAATCGCACTTTGCACGTGAGGGTGGGAGAGCATATCCCAAAATGGTTAGAAAAACAGATGAATTGTGACAAGCCAATAGATGCAGGTGTCAGACTACCAACTTCGTCTATAGCTAAACACCTAATCGAGATGAACCATAAGATTGATGTTAACTCAGCCTTTAAGGTCATCTATAAAAACGGTTAAGGGCGTTTACTGCAATACTTTGAGGCTATAGCTATTCATTAACTTAAGCCCCCCTTGTGTATTCAAAAACAGTTTGTTATTACTCTTAACCTATCGTAGTAATCCTTATTTAACTGGATTACCAAACGTTTGTGTTAATTATTCTTAATTCCTTTTTGTCACTTTGTTTAATTTAACTTTTCCATATATGTTTACTTGACAAGTAACTGTGTGAGGGATCCGACTGTTCGAAATGTGTAGCGCAAATACATCACATTTTTCAGATAATCTCCATCTTCCAATAAAGCTATCCATACAATGCCGTAAGTTTGTTTCAAAAATCATACAGTGATGACGCAGTATTAAAAAGTGGATAACGTTCAGAACACAAATTATTACTCATAATCACATCAACTAGTCACACGGCATCATACCTTGTTTTATATATGTATTTATCTCTATTCCCCTTGTTGTTTATTGCCATTTTCCATATCTTTCGTATAGACGTTGAGTCATTTCGATTGCATGTGTTTGATGGTGAATAGATGAACGAAGATTCGGTGATTAACCTCTCTCTCTCCATCTAAGTATATTACTTCCTAATACTCTCACTGTGTATCACCCTATTGTGCCATAACATGAAAGTGAATGCAATCCAATGCAGCGGTCTAGCTTTTTTCTAGATTATTTAACTTCCCAGGATCAATCATTCTTAGTGTGGTTAAATATTCATATTCCAATAATCGAGTTGACTCCGTTCTACTGATTTGACGTATGTAATTGACCTCACTAACAGTCAATACATGGCATTTGATAAATTATATTATTTTTTTGGCTTAATTGGATCTATTAGGTCACTGAGGTGACAAAGTTTATCTCTGAGTGGGGTTGGTTGGTTGGTTGGTTGTTTGGTTAGTTTAAATGCCTCCATAATTCCAGTTCTAGACTCACTGAGAATTCTACTGCTTACGCAGAATGGTAAGCCACAACACAAACCAGGGGAAGAGAAGAGCCATACTGCAACATCACTGTCTAATATTTAATGTAAACTTATATATAATATGGAATTAACCTGGAGTTAATTTTCAACAGATAGTGTGTAGGGGTTTCATTTGATTCAGGTTTGCCCACCATGGGTTGGCATCAGACAAAAAAACTATTGAAAATCACCGATTAGTCCTGAAAAGCCATGTTGTTCTACTTTAGGCCGCTTATGTGTTGTGCATCCACTGAGGTTTGAACCCATAACCTTTCGATCGGGATCGTAGATCACTCAGCCGGTGGGATCCGACTCCTCGATGGCTAGTGAATTCTAACTTCCACGAAATCGTGATTTTATCGTGACTGGCATCAGGCAGTAAGTATCATGCACGAGTGAAAGTTGTGGGAGAGAAGAAAAAAGGAGTCTAATCTCACCTTTAAGTGATTCGCCTAATTTTCTACTTTCAATTGAAACTTTACACGGAGGCTTCTTTTTGCTTCCTTGTGAACTAGTCACTTTTTCAGATGTTTTCATATCTTCTTTTGCATCTGCTGGTTGACTTCCAGTATGATATCCATCTATAGTAGAGCGTTTTGTAGATTTTTCCAAGGTTGTCGTTGACTTCGGTGGCGGAGGTGGAGCGGCTTTCCTTCCACGTCCTAAAGAAAAAGAAAAGATGAGAATGAGATGACACAGAGGTTGAGAAGAGGACAAAAGCTTCAGCACTACACTAGCCCTATTATTAGTATTGTATTTCATAATTTACCAACAAGTCTCTCCAAAAATACGAATTTAAAGAGCATTTTACTGTGACGTGTGCTATTCACAAGAGTTTATAAGTAGTAAGACGGGGGTGTATACGATATCTTTCATAAGAATCATCTTGAATAACAAAAAATGGTTTATGTTGTAGAAATGGGGGAATAAAAGATCCTTGTGAAACAAAATAGAAAACAAGATAGGAAAACAAAAGAAGTACAAAACGAAGAACATGCGCATTTGAAGCCCCCCCCTATGCGAAAGTTATACGGGTCTTGCAAGATGAACAATCCTGCTACTAAATACTGCGGTTTTTTCCTCTCATATTCGGTATTTACTTCCTGCACCTAGATGAAGATCCTCTGGCTTCCAGCATTTGATTTGGGAGACATACAAACTCTCCTTGCTGGGTTAACGGCCTTCCGGAATTCGACGGCGATGACAGTACTGCTGAGGATGCTACTGAGAGGTTAAGCGAAGGCTACCTACTACATTTCCCATGAAGCAAGCGTAGTGACTTTCTGGGAGAAGGTCGTTGAGTGGTGGATTTCAAAGACTAACAGGTCGACAGACGGACAGGAGGCATTGTAGAAACTTAGGTGCTTACGGTCTGGTGAAGGTACAGATCCACTGGTCTTGGCAATGGCATCAACCAGCTCCAAAGAATCATACAGAAGGATAAAGATTGCCACACGGCGATGTAATCAGAGCGAGTAGAACCAAGAAGGTTGAATCAGCTCCTCTCCATACTTTTTTATGTGGATACGAAGCCTGACGCGTGATATTGATAGGTTGTTTATTGCGTGTGATATCTTCTACGCGAATACTGAACAATGGAGGGTTTGATTAAATGGAGAAATGAAAGATCCTTGTGAAAAAACACTGAAAACATGAAAGGCGGACAAAAGTAGCACAAAATGAAGAACATGTGCAACTGAAGATTCTATTCTAAGCCTTCCGTATTTTTAAGATAAGTGCTATTTGGGACGAACGCACTGAGGCCATGAACCATTTGAAAACACTGGGTCAACATTAATATTCAGACTTCAGTTGTTGTTCCTCGTACCGAGTGCTATAGATTTGTACATCGATTTCAGAATAAAGAATGTCTACCTTGCTGTTCCCATCGTGACTACGTTTGATGTTCTCATCCATTATGTCTGTTCTTGAAATGCTTCTATCCGGTCAAGTAATAAAAAAAGAGTGATAGTGATTGGTGTTTATTACTGCCGGTCGGGGCTTCATCTCCTCTGTCTTCTATATGCTCACTGCTTCTTCTACTGTCTGCCACATCATTAAATTCGCAATGATCAAGAGATCATCAGTGCTCGTGGGCAGCATTGTCTTATTCCTGTCTTCCTCTGAAACGCTTCCCTGAGCTTTTCTTTGTGACTTAATTCGAAAGCATTATCATCAAATACCTGTTGAATGAGGTTCATCACTAATTCCGGAATTCCAACTCGTAGTTTTGAATCAAAATCAATGAGCTTGAGGCAAAGAGTTAGCTGCCATCATGGACACTGGAGAAAAAAATCAATTTATATTATCGTCTGTGACGAGTTACTTTGAATATAATTCCTTTATGTAGTAATTATCTGACCTGAAACTTCTCATGAGTGGAATATGTAGCTTGAGTAGCACATCTCCAGTTTGTCCTATCCTCGGCAGTCCTTGTCAGCTGGCTCCATGACTTTCCCTAGGCAATCCTCTCCTTTTCAAAAGATTTTCTCCATGCCACCCTTGGACCAGCTACGCCCAACTCGTCATTTCCCATTCGAGTTCTACTCGAGCGACTGTCTGGAACGTGACGTCGCCTATAGGCCTCCTCGGCGTGTATCTGATTAAACTCCATTTTCCTTAGGTATATTTATTGAGCAGCAGGCTCTTGTGTTAATATATGTGTAAAACTTGGGCACTGTGGTAGTAAGTAATTCCACATTAGTTTGTTTATTAGATGTATAACACAGTCACTGAAACAGTATTATTTTCCGGATGACGAGGTTTCGAACAAAAGTAATTACTGTTTATAATCATATCGATTATAATCACACGACTTCGAAACTTGAATTTTATAGTTTTCTTTGCTCTCTCTTAGAGGTAGTGGAATTTTCATATGTATGGGACAGGTGTTAAATCATTTCTACTACACCTGTTTGCAGTTGATTTGATAAACAAAGATTCCGTTACAAATCATTTTATCCCATTCTGTCCTACTGCATGGTTGTGTGTATTTGCATGTACTGCTGTAACTGAACTATTCTCTAGATTTCTTATCTTATTGGGGTCAACTAATCTAGATTTTGCTAGGTATTTATGTTCGGGTGGTTTGAGTGCCCCTGTTTTACTACTTTGACCTATGTATTTGACTTGACAATCATTCCAGCAGGGTACTAGATAAACTAAATAGTTTTCTTTAATTGACTTCACAGGATCCTTTAACCGACAAAACTTCTTTCTAATTGAGTTTGTGGGGTGTCTGAATGCTAGCCACTTTCATTCCTGCCTTGTTAAGAATTCTGCGTGAAGTGGTTTCCGGGTTTCCTTCCTTGTATGGAATTACTACTGATGATTTAGATTCCCTATTGTCGGTGTTGTCATTATCTTGCGCATCTTTGACATGCATGCCATCATTAATATTATCTTTATTATTTTCACTACAACTATTGCCATTATTTATTTTATTTTTGCATTTGTCTATATATTTACTGACTAATTTATCAAGGGTAATTATTGAGTTTCAAAGCTCCTCTGATATGCTTCACTTCTTGTCATAGATTTTCTTTGGTACTACTTAATTTTTGTGCTCTATTACTTAAACATTTGGTCAATCCTCTTTTCACTGACATAGGATGGAATGATCGGAAGTCCGAATATCTGTTTGAATGTGTGAGTCAAACATGCGCAAGATAAAGACAACACCAACAATAAGGAGTCTAAATCATCAATGGTAATTGCACACATAGAAAGAAGCAACCTCGGAAACCTCTCCAATCCTATTTCTACCGACACAGGATGAAAATAAGATTGGTGAAATTCCGAAATAATAGAGCACAAAAACTGAGTAGTACCAAGAAAAATCTAAGACAGGAAGTGAGAGGTATTCATTTATTCATTCATTCACTCACCTTTATGTAAAGTATCTGCAGATGAATTTGAGCTTATCGAATGGTCTATACTCTGATTACACAAAGTATGCTCACTTTGCATTTTTATTGCATTTACAGAATTACCATTCAGCGTTTTGGTAATCATCATACAGGGGAGTGTATTTTCTTCTACAAATGATTCAGTTGGACAAATGACATTATTATTAGTAGTATTATTATTGGTAGAATACAACTGACCAGATTTTGTAGGACACGGTATACGTTCCTCATCATTTTGTCCAGTATGCGGATGAAAGTGTTGATGAGATTTGTCAACTGGAGCTTCATTTACAAGTCGATTGTAAAGTCCAAAATTTTTAAATTGATTAGTATATCTAAAATAGATGGATAAACAAAGATTTCATTGAGAAAACTTCTCTCATACTACTGATGTGAGGATGTAAGTAGTTGAATATGACACACATCAACTTGTAGTGTTTGTTAGCCAGATCAAAATTATCTAAACACCGGATGATCTTTCTCAAACGGTTGTCCAGTTATCCTTTGTTTTCAATGGTTCTCTAACCGTAGTCAATAAGAGATCATCTCTGAAATAACAAGTACGCTTATTATGTATGTTAGTCTGTGTATGGCAAAATGTGACAGTGAGTATAAATACTAAACTGTTGCTCCATGGCCCGCCAATTTTAACTACTCTTCATTCGCCTTTTTCTGACATGAAAACTGGCCAGTATGATCAGTGAGTACTTGTCCTAAAACACTCAACCTGATAAACTCGAATGGTCATAACTTTCCCCCAGAATGCCAAACAGCTTCATTATGTAATCAGTTATGTTCAAGAGTTGGTCTGTAAGGATCAAATTTGTTTTTGAGAGTTTGACCACGGATTTATATAAGTTAGAGAACCTTTGAAAACCAGCCAGGTAGTACTGAACAGCTGTTTCATACTAGTATGGGAATCGTCGGCAGTACGCACCCACTTCCGGGGTTCGAACTCAGGAATTTCCGGTTGCAAGGTCAGCGAGCTCGTATATCATTCAGCCACTGAGATCCGACTCCTCAATGGCCAGTCCATGAATTAAAACTTCTACCAATTTGTGATTTAGTGCGACCGCCACCAACCAATGTCATCGGTGGGAAATCCATTCTCAGTCATTAGCTAGCACTAGATAGATTTTGAAGTGTTGTTCACACAGATGTGCTTGATTTCATGATTGATAGGGAACCGACTTCAGTTCAGTGGTTACTTTGATTGGACATTAGTTAATAACTAGTATCAAGTGTCTAGTTCTTTTGTTTGGAGCAGACTGGATCCTCTCAGTCATGTTTGCAATGTAACCAACATGCTGGTGGCTTGTCATCACGATGCATTCTGAATTGTTGTTATTAGATGTTTGAAGGCGGTCTACACAGGGGGATACGCTTTCGAACCTCAGGAGAAATATACGCTCCTTCAAGATTGCAGGTATACCTTTCTGGCGAATAATAAAAAGCGCGATACCTAGGTCCAAAGCCTCCTACCGACTGTCTTCAACCATCAACTAATAACAATAGTTCAATCTCTGGTCAGCTAAAGTCGGTTCTTGATCACACTTGGAGTAATACTAGTCATCTACTTGTTTGTGATTATCATTCAAATACAGGTGTGGGAAAATAATTTGTCTGAGCTTATTAACTATTCAACCAGTGGCTTAGAGTCCAATGTACTGTGGGTTCTGACACCTTTTAATTCTTATTTAACTCATTATATACTAGTATCCCTATTACCGAAAGTCTTGATATCATTTCCAGTCTACTAGAATCAGATACAACGCTATCACAAAGGTGTCCACTGGACACCAGTGAAATAATTAAGAGCTTAAAATTCTGTCCAGAAAGTAATTATTTCACATTTAAAGGGAATTTATATCGACAGACGAATGGTGTTGCTACAAGTTCACCAGTTTCCAAAATTGTCGCTGATCTTTTACTTTAATACATTCGAAGATAACATCTTTTCAAGCATACTCACTCAAAAAATATGGTTAAGATATGTGGATGATACTTTTATAGTGCTGAAACGAGATCTACACAGTTTATTCTTGGAGAAAGTCAACTTCGGAAGCAGACAAAATCAGACATGGGTGAACTTCCATTTCTAGACAGCCTGGCTAGTTAAATGGAGGGAAAGTCGACATTTTAGTATATCCATATTGAGCGAGAAAACCCACTCCAACAAATATTTAGACTTCGGATCATCACACCCCATCACTACAAAGGCATCCGCTGTTTTAAGTCATCTGTGATGAGCATAATCTTTGATCACGGATGAGAAAGAAAAATAAGAAGAAATATCAAACATTACCATGACTCTCAAGCAAAACAACTACCCAAAGAAAATCATAGATTTACAGAATCAACATTGACATCAATCAAGTATGGTCGAAAACGCATTCCAAAAACGTGGACCTCAATAAGTTTCACTCCGTATAGAGCGCAGACATCAGATGACCCCAGAAGAGTACTCAATAAACTCGACATAGGAGTTTTCTTCAAACCGTCAGACACACTACGAAACAACCTTGTGCATATAATAGATCAAATCCCCAAAGATTCTCTATCGAGTTGTGTCTATAAAATAAAATGCTTGGAATGTGATGCGATGTACTTCGGACAAACATCGCTAGACAGAATTCAAAATCAGAAGAAATGAACACTGTAGAGCCGCCTGTATTTAACCACCGAGAAATCTAGTTGAACTAGAAAAGCTTGAAAAATCATCACTCATAGGTGGTCTACACGCTATAGAATCAGGCCACAAACTTGATTTTGACAATATTGAAATACTACTACTCCTTTGATTTGACCTAACTTTTCTTTGTTTGTTTGATTTGACCTTACTTCTGTTTGTATGCTTATTTTTCTAACTTAAAACCCTTGTGTAATTCTGTATATTATTTTGTTTCCATGTACACCCTTTGAGCACAACTCATTCATCAAACTATTCATGCCATTACGTAACTCTTATTTAACAATCATTTATGACAACTCATCACTTTTGTTGCTATCCTCTTATCAACATCCAATTCATCTGAACCTACTAATTGTATTTTCGTTTGACAAATTTAATGTATACACACACACACAAAATAACCATATATATTTGCGATTGTACAGCTATGAAAATGAATTCGCCGAAAAGAGACTCTTCGCTGAACTACTTGTCTTCTGTCTACTAATATTGAAATAATCCGGAAAAATTTCAGAGATCACAAAAAACGTCTAATATCATCAGAAGCAAATATAACTTTATAAATATCATCAGAAGCCCTTCATACAATCGAATGGAAGCCAAATTGTCTGAATAAGAATGATGGACTAAAACAGAATCTGACCTGGTTACAACAACCCATCACTTCCTCCATGAAATAGCAAAATCAACACGAATGTGATAAGCGATTTTGATATGTAAACGCGTGCTTCTTTTATAGTTTTCATGTGCTTATCAGATCTAACAATCTACACCTGGTTTTGTTATCTTTACCAATTGACCAATTTGACAAAACACTGAATCCATGCTGAGGAACTATGATTAAGTTCCTATATATATATATAAGCTGAGATTTTGTAAATTCTGGTTTAATAATACTTTGATAAAGCTGTTAGCAGTAGCATTAAATAGCGAAACGTCAGTTAAAAACGACAATGTCGTTTTGTTTTTCATTCATTCATTGGGAAATACAAAAAGCCTTTATTGTAATGAATATCATATACCCGATGGGCAAAGTTTTCCAGACTGTTAGAAGTAAACTTTTTTTTCCTTCACGTTCCCAGTGGAACATAGGGCTTCAAGCTAGTAGCTTGAAGTTTCTGTAGCAGTGTTTAATTTTTACAGGATGAGGTTGCTAGCCTCATGCCCAACCTTTCCTCTTCACCAGCATTATTTCTAGCTTAGCAAAGTAAAAGAGTGCGTCGGCCAGGAATCGAACCCCGGACCATGTGCATGGTCGGCGATAGTCCTAACCGCAATGCCACCAACGCATGTATATATATATATATAATTTTTGACTTGATATTGAGCGCGCTTTTCGACTATTACGCTACATTTTGGTCATAAATAAAATCTCTTATTACTCTAAAATTTTATGCAAAGTGTTTGCGGAAATTATCACAATTATTAACCTTTCGAACACTGAATCCAAAAAATACAATCTTATTGACAGATAATACACATAACTCACTGTTTGGATTTGTGGAATTTTTAAACATAAACACATCTATAATTGTATATATTGTTGGATTTATATGTTCAAGTTGCTCCAAGTCAGTGAGTTTATGGTTAAGATATCATTTTAGTTAAATGTACTGAACTATATTGCATGTTGTCTTATTGTATAGTTGTCGTCGCTTTTTGCCCTTTTTTCTGTGAACTGTTTCCTTTGTTGATGTTGTTCTCATTGTTTGTCCGTTATTTTCTGATTTTGAGGGGAGCAACCCAAAAAGTTGCTTCTCTCTAAACTTTTACTTAATGTAATCATTCTTTTCTCAGGCGTGAGGCTAGCAACCCCACCCTGTAAACAAAAATTGCTAAAGAAACTTCAGTATGTTGAACCTCCTTGCACCAAAAGAAAAAGTCTGTGTAGGAACATGGAACGTCCGAACTATGTACGAGACTGGGAAAGCTGCCCAGATCGCCAACGAGATGAAAAGATACGGAATACAAGTGCTGGGAATATGTGAGAGCAGATGGAATGGGAGTGGACTCACCAAATTGTCAACAGGTGAGTCAGTGATCTACTCCGGTCACCCAGAAGATAACCACACGCACACCGAGGGCGTGGCTATCATGATGTCACCAACGGCAACGAAAGCCCTGATACAATGGGAGGCGATTTCGTCCAGGATAATGACCGCCAGGTTCAACTCCAAAGGAAGGAAAGTGTCAATCATACAATGTTATGCACCCACAAACAACGCAGACCTCGAGAAGAAAGAAGAATTCTACAGGCAACTACAGGCAACAATGGACAATACTCCAGCTGGCGACATGAAAATACTAATGGGAGACATGAACGCCAAACTGGGACCAGACAATACGGGAAGGGAACTCATCATGGGTAGAGAAGCTCTAGGAGAAATGAATGAAAACGGAGAACTCTTCGCCGACTTCTGCGCCTTCAACGAACTGGTGATTGGTGGCAGTGTATACAAGCACAAAGATATCCACAAGGCTACATGGGTGTCACCAGACGGGCAAACCAAAAACCAAATCGACTTCATCTCAATCTCAAGGAAGTGGAGGCGCAGCCTACTGGACACAAAAGCAAGAAGAGGAGCAGACGTTGGCTCAGACCACTATCTCGTACAAGGGACAATCCAAATCAAATTAAAAGCTTTCAGGGAATCAGGAGCTGCAGATAGACCACAAGCCAAGTTCAACACTCAAAAGCTGAAGGACCAGGCTACAAAGGACATCTTCATTGCAAGCATAAAGGACAAAGCCGAGACACAAATCAACACTAGCGAAGAGGTCGGCGTTGAAAAGCACTGGAACAACTTGAAAACGGTGTGGAGCCAAACCTGCATAGAAATTCTAGGCAGAAAAAAGAGACAGGACAAACAGTGGCTCACTACGGACACTTGGAAACTAATAGAAGAGAGAAGGACAGTGAAGCAAAAGATTATCCAGTGCACGGACGAGCAACAAAAACAGGAGCTGAATGCAAGCTACAATACACTGAACAAAAGAGTGAAGAAAAGTGCCAGGGAAGACAAAAGAAAATATTATGAAACCATGGCAAACGAAGCAGAACAAGCTGCAGGCAAAGGAGACCTCGCCACACTCTACCAAACAACTAGGAACCTTTCGGGCAAACGTTCGACACAGATTAAGCCAATAAAGGACGACAATGGAAAGTCAATCACCAAAGAGGTGGAACAGAGAAAGCACTGGGTTGAACACTTCAAAAGACTTCTAAATCGTCCGCCACCTACAACACGTCCAGCAATACCAACAACGGAAGCAGAACTACCAGTGAACACTGACCCCCCGACGAAATCAGAAGTCCTGAATGCAATCAAGATGCTTAAAACTGGGAAAACACCGGGACCAGATGGAATCCCAGCAGAGGCTTTGAAAATAGACCCAGAGACAACAGCGGACTTGATGACACCACTACTGGAGAAGGTGTGGAAAGAGGGCAAAGTACCCGAGGATTGGAAGAACAGTTACTTATTCAAACTTCCAAAGAAAGGAGACTTAAGTCAATGTAAAAACTGGCGTGGAATTATGCTTCTGTCCATTCCAAGCAAGATACTAAGTCGCATCATCCTGGAGAGAATCAAACAAGCCCTAGATGAAAAACTTCGTCCGGAACAGGCTGGATTCAGGAGAAACAAATCATGTATTGATCAAATCGCCACTCTACGGATCATCATTGAACAAAGCTTGGAATGGCAGTCACCTCTCTATCTCAACTTCATCGACTTTGAAAAGGCCTTCGACAGCGTCGATCGAGAGGTCATTTGGAAACTACTTCGCTACTACGGGGTCCCATCGACAATTATACACCTCATCCAACAGTTATACGACAATGCTGCATGCCAAGTAATCCACAACGGGAAACTTACGGAAGCCTTCGAAGTGAGGACGGGAGTGAGGCAAGGCTGTCTACTATCACCAATGATCTTCCTGATTGCAATTGATTGGATAATGCGACAGACAACGGCAACCAACGAGGGAACAGGCATAAAATGGACTGACACAAAAGACTTGGAGGATCTGGATTTCGCCGATGATATATGTCTGATTTCCCATAAACTGGAAGATATGCAAGTGAAAAGTAACAAGTTGGCAGAAGAAGCATCAAAGATAGGACTTCACGTGAACATAGATAAAACAGAGATGATGAAGATTCCTAGCCAACATCAACAACACCAACAGACCACAATAAGCATAAATGGGAAGAACCTGAAAGAAACAACCTCCTTCACCTACCTGGGAAGCATCGTCTCAACTACAGGCGGAACTGACGAGGACATCAAAGCCAGAATCGGAAAAGCAAGACAAGCTTTCATTACTCTCAAATCTGTGTGGAGGTCAACAGCAATCAGCATCAAAAATAAGATCCGGATTTTCAACTCCAATGTGAAGTCAGTGCTACTATACGGATCAGAGACTTGGCGAGTCATAAAGAGCATCTCAAACAAACTTCAAACCTTCATTAACAACTGTCTCCGCTCAATACTCAAGATCAGATGGCCAGAAAAGATCAGCAACAGGGATCTCTGGGAGCGAACCAATCAGGAACCGATTGTGAAACAAATAGGCAGAAAGAAATGGAGATGGATTGGCCATACGCTGAGGAAACCATCAAGTGACATCACTAGACAAGCCCTCGAGTGGAACCCGAAAGGGAGGCGGCGAGTTGGTCGTCCAAGGGTGACTTGGAGGAGGTCATGCGAGGAGGAGATGAAAGCATGTGGACAGACCTGGAGCAGGGTGAAAAAGTTGTCAGAAAACCGAAGTCAATGGAGGTGCGCAGCTGAAGCCCTATGTTCCTCTAGGAACTAAAGGATACAATAGTAATAATAATTTTTTAATTCTCTCTACTCTGTTACCATTTAAAAGTGTCATCAACAAGTATCTTTACTCATAACAGACTCCATGGTCACTACTGGAGACGGTTTCTTACTAGAGGAACCGATGCAAGCTTGGGTTCGCACATTAGTTATATGATCACGAGGAGGAAACTTCACTTACAGTCGACTTAATTCATCAATTTTGAAAAGACTATGCATCAAAATACTGAAGGTATTACTTCAGGAATAATATCCTACAAATGTGTTGTAGGTATATAATCTTTTTCTGGTTTGACCTCTGATCGATATTACTTAGAAAACCATCGGAAACCAACCAGGAAGTAATTCACAGCTGCTTAATCCTAGTTTGAGTCTCTTCAGCAGTACACTGAAGAGTTCAAAAGCAGGACCTTCAGGTTATATGGATAGCTCGTAGACCGTTCAGCCGCTGGCCTATGAATTTGAATCTGATGCCCTTTAATCACTGGTTACATGATGGAGTTAGTAGCCTGGAGTTTTAGTGAGAAGTCGTGACTAGTGGGCTACACCACAACGTTGGGAGGGAGAACAAATACCCGCCGATAACACTGGCTGGTACCAGTCGCACTTAAAATCACAAGTTGTTAGAAGATAGAATTCATAGGTCATTGAATCGGGTTCGAGTGGCTGAAAGTTATACAAACTTTTCCTTTAATCCGAAGGTACTGGATCCGTACTGACGATGAGACCTAAGAGACTAGGGCAAAACAGCTGTCCAGTATTTCTTAATAGTTTCTAACGGCCCTCCAACGGATATTCATCCCTGGTGGTCAAATCTGAAACAAATCAAATCCCTACGAAAGGAAACGCATTCGGCGAAGAGTTACTCCTCTCTTCGGACTCTTGAACATATCATCTGTTTGGCGAAATTGCCACGTATAAGAAATCGAATGTGAGAAATCAATACGCAATCAGAACTCCTATTACGATTACCACTATAAGAATTTGTTTTTTATTTCGGATATCCCTTCCGAGAATCCACTTGGAGAAACCATTTGCTTTATTTCCTGACGAAAGGTATCAAATACGAAAACATTGCATGACGAATCATAAGACAGTGGAATGCCAAAATAAAACATCAACACATACTTACTTATACAATCTTTGTCGTTGTATACAACTCTTGATATAATGTGACAGGATTCGAACTGTTTTAGCAGTTGCTTCTGGTAGCATTTCATTAGCTTCAGCTGCCATTTGTAAGACACGATGTAAATTGAAACCAGAATGTGCCATACCTAATCGCCACATAAGACATGGTAAATAGAATAATAAGGCTTGTGCAGCCATTACAATCGGCGCCCATTGATAATAAACTAAGAGGAGTTCACGTCTGTCGGGTACTGGTGGCAGGCGATTCTCAATTGGTGCAAAATATGTATTTGCTACCCAACAATAGTTTTCTGCATATTCTTCCCAACCTCGTGTGAATTCTTGAGGTATCCAACATTGAATTGGTTTTCCTAGGAAATGGTTTATAATAAAATAGCATGAAATAAGGGTTCTTGAGAAATAAAGAGACGAAATTTTAGCGTAAAATTCTTTCCCGTTTGAATCTGACCAGATAAAAATACCAACATCTCCAGGAAGTAGTGGTGTTCCTACTGAAGACTAAACTCGGCATCTGTCGTTTTAGATGGAGAAGCAGTGTCCTCCAGGCATCTTTATGAAGAGCTTGAATATTAGTGAAAATAGCTGTCAAGGAGATGTTTTAATTAGTTTTAACAATTGGACGTCTTTCAGACTAGTTTGAATTAGCGATTCGCTAACTACGAATATGGCCTACAGGCGAAAGTTGGTAGACTGACAGAAAAATCAGAAAAGACAGGACGTGAAGTGAACAAAGGGAAAATGGAGGTGACGAGAATAACATGAACAGCAACCAGCACCAATCACTTTCAACTGGAGAGATTTGAAAGAGCTTACTTCCATCACCTGTCCAGGCGCCATCTTTTCAACTGCAGTTACCTCCAAAAGAACTTCCAAAAAACTTCAGACTTCTATGAACATCTGCCTTCGCTGGTTCAGCATTAGAGATCGAATGGCCAGTTGAGAAGAATTAGTAACAAAAATCTTCGTCAGCGGACCAATTAAGAATCTACTGCTTAACAAGGAAATCGATCAAGAATATGTTGCCCAGCAAATTTATGAAAGAAATCACAAGTGGATTGAATGCGCTCACAGGGGACTGATGAGTGATAAAATGAGTAATACGGATTGGAAACGACGAACTGTTCAGCTGTCAGTGGTTGATATATAGCAGGTCGTCTGAGGAAGGAATGAAGGCTTATGGGCAACAGTGGATTTAGTCTGCAAAAGACTTTAGAGAATAGGGCGTAACAGCAGTATGGTACTAAAGGCCAGTGTTCCGATAGGAAGTCAAGGAAATAATTATATCATTATATTTTTATTATAATTCCATTGGGTTCCGGGCGGAACAAGAGCTTCAAAAGTATGTCCCAGTTTTTTCCTGTTATCTCAATAACTAATCAGCTGGCTCAACGGTCACCCATTAGCTTCCATCCCTCCCTTCACATTACTCTTGGAGAAAAACCAACCTTTAGTTTCCCACTTGGGGTACACACAAGCAACAAACTGGAGCGCTATGTCACCCAACAGCCGCCTCAGCATGGGTCCAATTCATCGTCATTTTCTTCGGAATATTCTCTTAATGAGCAATAGATTCTCGATTGGTTCATTGACTATATTGAATTAGCGAAGTCAGATATTGATAAATATCTAAAGCCCGATAGGGATACTTTTAGTGATGTGACAAGTTTCTAACCCATATAGAAAAAATGGCTGACTTGAAATTGGTGTTGAAAATCCGAATTTTTTCGCTTTCAAACAGATTTCATTACGATGAATATCTTCTTCGACTTTCCAATTCTAGTTTTGACATCGACATCTTGGTGGACTTCCTGTTTCTGAAACGATGCTTTCTAAACAACCGAAGGAAGTGACGTCTTAGTTCACCTGAATTTCTGTCTTCACTGTTCACTTCTTCTTTCAACTGGTCGGCTTTCGCTTGTAGGTATTTTAGTTCATATGAAATTAGACGGAAATCGTCCTGGAAATTTAGATCTTCCAGAGTCTTCTTATCTGTCGTCCAGTGTATCCTTGTCTTTTTTTAGCTTGTCACAATCTGTCACATAATAATTGAAAATGTTTTTAACATGTAAAGAATTTAGGTGTTTGTAGACTGTACAGTGACATGATTCACATAGAATCATTTCAGCACTACTACGGAAGAGTTCTTCCGTAAACGTGTAGGTGGCGAAGTACAAAAAATAGTGTCTCAGGAGGGCAAACTCTTCAATGACCTTGAAAGAATGCTAGTCGTCGTTGGCTAATGGCACCTGTCATTATCATAGCTGAAATATCAACGCTATTCACCAACTAAGCGGTAAATTTCACCTAGATCACGTTTTAAGTATTGTTTCGACAATGTGTTAATAGCTCGGTAAGGTTAGGATTAACGTTAAGATAAGTATTGGGGTTAGGGTTAGGATCAGAGTTAGGATTAAGGTTAACGTTGAGATTAGGAATAGATTTGTAGTTGATGTCATTTATTTTAATTTGTTTTATTATCCACATTTCTCTGATCGTCGATCGATCGGTAGTCGTCGATCCTCTTACTGGAAACCACATTAACTCTACAGAGGGCTTTTGGGGAAGACTGCACAACTAGATAAGAGAGATAAACAGTTCACAAAAACAGCTCATCTTTAGTCAACTTGGTGAATATATGTTCACAAACTAGCCTAACTTAGCATCTGATACTCCTCATTATAACTGGGGCATATTTTTAAGTATTGGTTTTTGTAGGGATTTTGTTTGATTGCCTAGAGGATTTAATCATGAGCTGACATCAGTTAGAGAACCACTGGAAAACCTGGGAGTACTGGACAGCTGTTGAAAATTCATCTGATGCTCATTAGTGACTGGCCCTATTCAGGCAGTTAACCTGGGGTTCTAGTGGGAAGCTGTGACCAGTAGGGTACAGCAGGTCAAAGATGAGGCAGTAACTCATCGAAGAAGACATTGCGAAGTGGTCGCGCTATGTCGTCAACTGGCAGAAGTTAGAATTCAAGGACCACTGAATCGGCTCCCAGTGGCTCAATGGTCTACGAGCTCGCCTTGTAACCAGAAGGTCCTGGGTTCGAATCCCGGTGGGTGAGAACATGTTTTTAAGTCACTCATGCGTTCGCATACCTTAGGACGCTATTGTTGAACTTTGCCATGTAGGTAGACTTATCGGTTATTTATATCCTCTTATTCAAGTATTGGTTTGTAGGGATTTGGTTGATTGGTTACAGGATTTCATCATGGGATGACATTGGTTAGAGAACCATTGGAAAACCAGCTGGGAGTACTGGATTGCTGTTTCGTCCTGGTTTGGGACTCCTCAAAAGTACACTACACCTAGAGGGTTTCGAACACGGGATCTTCTGGTTACAAGACGAGCTTGTGGACCATTAAGCCACTGGGACCCAATAGTTCAATGGCCAGTCCATTAATTCCAACTTCTGCAAATTCACGACATAGCGCGACCGCTGGCCAATGTCTTCAGCGAGTATTTTTCCTCACACCCGACTTGCTGCACCCTACTGGTCACGACTTCTCACTAGAACTCCGGGTAACTACCTGCCTGAATAAGGCCATTGATCATCCCATTGATATTCAAGTATTGGTTTATAGGGATTTGTTGGGATATATCACCTTAATCTGATGTTGGTAAGTAGTATTCCCTAATGGGATTAACTTTCTATAACTATTAGGGTACTTTGTTCAATCGTCTTTTATCTCCTCTCTTAATCAGTTGATCTAGTGAATGAGATGGCTATTAGAAGGCCGATAGGTGTTGTGAAAATGTCATAAGATGAATGACAGCATACACTCACAATTACACACACTCACAAACACATACATACACACATTTTTATACATAAACTAACAAAACAGACCTTGTTCCGTTTATTATTATTATTATTATTATTATTATTATTATTGAAATATCATCTATTGACAATCACTTAAGCTGAGTTTTAAGAAAAGTGTTAATGGATCTCATCTGATTGCAGATCTGATTAATTTGATCAATCAGCAGGTGATTCTTAATTATCCTGTTGTTCGTAGTAATTTCAAATTAGCATTATTCTCCCAGGTTATTAGTGATTAGTATCTGGATTGCCTGATGTTTAATGTTCCATATTACTTGTGTGTTTACAACAGATATAGGTTGGGTTATCCCTGATTAGTCATTTTCACATATATTAAGAAAGAATTTGATATATTAAGGTCAGGCAAAAATTGTCCAATTTTGATAGGGAAAGAAAGAATGAAAGACCAGATTCACAAGTTCTCATCATCTGCAGACTACCTGAAATTAGAGTGGTTATATTTTGATGTGGTTGTGTTCTCTGAGCTGGATAGTTAATTTACAAGGCTTTTATAGCCTTACTAGGCGACATCTTCCTTAAGCGCATACTTTAATCTCAATTGAAGTGAGTTTTTAGATTTCTCCACGAATTTATTAATCATCTCTCCTGGTGACTTTGGACGTGATTGGTTGTTTTTGTGTGTTTTCACACCCCTCTAGGCTACTTGTATTGGCAGTGGTGTCGATTGTTTCCTTGACCTAAAGTTTGACTCATTATATGTGAGATTTCTCTCTCATCGATTGTTAAATTATGTCTGTATCGATGTGTCTATCAATTGACCACTCACTGGAATACCAAAAAGGCTTCTAAAAATTGTTCAGTATTCTTGGTGTTTCCTCTGTCTAATATTTGAAAGTTGTCCCAGTCGAACTGATGTTGTGATTGTCTGTATGCAGCAATATGAGTTAGGGAGTAAATGTCATGCTTTTTGACGACTAGCTTATCATCATGGATACAAAGACAGAGGGGACGTCCACTTTGGCCAATGTAGTGTTTTCCTCAGTCATTGAAACTTATTTTGTTGATGATGTTTGTTTTATCTTCTTTCGTTGTTGAGTCTTTTGGTTGACACACAGTCAGCTGAGTGAAGTGATTTTGTTGGTTTGTGTGCAACCTCATTTCCTAGAGGTATGAAGAGTCTTGCAGTGATCTCTGAGATGTCTTTCGTATATGGTAGGGAGATTTTCTTTGTGCTTTCTTTGGAGGCTTTTAGTTTGATAGGTTGGCTTCGGGGGTATATGTCCTTTGATGAAATTCCGTGGATATTCATTATTTTGGAAGACGTTCATGAGATATCTTTCTCCAAATTTTCCTTAAAGTAGGAGTTGTTGCAATGAGTCCTGGCCCTCTTGAATAGCGTTTGTATACAACTTCTTTTTGTATTATCCTATAATACAGTTGATGACAGTAAAGTTGACTAACACTTACAGTTAGAAAAATACAAATCGCAGGCGACACCTGTTAATATCTCGTGATTAGAGGATTCGAAGTATTTAAATCCATGAATCTGTAGATGAGGAGGTCACTCTCTTGAAGAAAAAACTACTTGGAAATAGTTATTCCCATCTTTATAGATGAACATGCAAAGCCCAAAATCGGGATACAATACATGAGTGTGGCGTTCAAAGGCTAATTTCTGGTCCATACTCTAAAGAACAGAATATCTCACTGCCTGAGAAAAACAATCTTCGCTGCTACAACACGACTGGTATTCTCTTGCCACCCAGTTCTCCCCAGTAAAGTCTCTTTTAACCACTTCTAGGTGTTTCGAACGATTCACTTGCTCCTGTGCAGCTAGATATGTATGTGGTTTGATGAGAGTCTCATCTAAAAGATTCGAGAAACATCATCCCGTTTGGTTACAGAAAGTTGCCAGTATATATCACTAAACAGTGCTATAATTAGACATATATATATTCAACAGTGGCCACTTAGCATGTGAGGAAAATTCATTCAAACTTGTCTACAAGGGTATAAGAAGCCTCCACAAAGCGATATGCTTCCGTGTAATTTGCACTGCTGAGGCGATTTGAATGTAAAAACCTACAACTAATGCACACAAAAGTCACTCGAGCAGCAGAATCTAATACTGAATGTTTCGCATTCCTTTAAGTTACGAGTGAAACTTACAACAGCTTATTGAAGGTTCACAAGCATTAGTGCTTTTTATCCTTTAATGGAATGAGATTCTAAGCCTCATGGCTAATCTTTCATTCCTCCAGGGATTAGTACGAGATAATTAAGGTTTATGGGTGTGTTGGCTTGGAATAGAATCCAGGTCTCCTGGACGGCTTGCAAGCATTCCATCACTGTACCACCGACGACTACCTCATTTAGAATGGAGGATTCTATGTGCTGCGTTAATCGTTTGAATTTTTGAGTGGTTGATACTTTCTGTTTGCATTTGATAGCATTGGCTTAATTTGCAAATATTTAGACCATTTCATTATGTATCCTTTGGGTTTCAGTAATTCCTAGTCATATATCTTCTTGTGAAGTACTCTCTGTTTTTTAAATTTTTGGTGACTAGAAGTTAGAACACTTTAATGTATTTTACAACTATGGAGCAGGGTAATTCCATTCTATATGGTATGGAAGTTAGCTTGATTCAACAGTTAAAGGTTATGTACATACCAAATGATTCGCAAAGGAAAGTCCCAGTAAGCCATCTGAAGTAAGGACAGAGGTGAGGCAAAGCTATTTACTTACTACCACCAATGATATTCCTAATTGTGGTTGACTGAATCATGCATCAAAACTTTTAGGAGCGAAATTATGGAAATACGTTGACTGTTGGACATAAATATTTTATGTGATCTCAACTCTGAGGGTGATCTAAATCTCATTTTGCACAAACCAGATGATTTACAAGCGCAAAACCGACAAGTTTTGTGGAATAGGTGGGCAGCAAATACAGGATTTCACGTAAAGACACAGAAGATAGAGGTAATGAAGATACCAAACAACAAACAACAACAATCACCACCAGTGGGAGAAACCTACAGAAAGTTATCTCATTTATTTGCCTGAAAAACATCGTTTCAAAGTCAGCTAGAATCAAGAAAACAAGACAGCCATTTACTACTCTGAAACCAGTGTGGATATCTTCTGCACTCGCCATGAGGAACACGATACAAACTTCTAACACCAAGGTCATGTCAGTCAGATTTAGTGTGTTCACCACCAAATGCATTTTCAACAGGTCACTACAGAATTTCGTCAACGGCTGCTTTCGCTTGATAATACTGATGACCATGTTTTGAATGGACATACACCGAACAAAATTCCAAATGATATTACACGCCAGGGTGTCGAGGAGGGTGCAAAGTAGATGAGACAGTAGAGTGATATGAAAAAGATTGTTTAAGGATATAATGAATGATTGTACAAAGTCCTGAGGCCAGTTGAATGCGATTACAAAGAAGCCAGGGAAATAGGCGTTGTGTTACACTAAAGTCGTATGTTCCACTCAGAGCCCACTAAAGATTTGACCATACTTTTTTTCTGATGATAAGGAGTAATTGTTAGGAACTAAGCATTACATGAGTCAGACAGGTGTTAAATGATTGGTGTTTACGAAAACTGACTGCTTATTGGATGGTCAGCTGGATCATCATGGGAACAGAAGGACAGGGTTCAACAAATTTCACTTATGGGTAGACGCAAAATTTAACTAGAAAGAGCATAAAACATAATAGATTACGTAACTACCGAAGATATATTCGTACAAAATAGCAAGAAAGGAGTAGGGTGAGTCACCGTTAGAGATGATACAAAAACTTTTTCTAAACAGGACAGAAGATGACGTAATAAAATTGTATTCCTTGTTATCATCAAGGAAGTATATGATTCACCACTTTATGTTTCTGAGTATATAAATATGGTTTTCATCGTTTGTTGGAGATTGCCTCAGCAAGCTACGTTCATTTTGCATGTTTATTGTTTTGAACGCCTTCACGTTGTCCACAAAATGGCTATTGTCCAATAGATGGCGCACGATTGCACTCTTTAGTGCCTATGAGTCTTTTTATTGTGCTATTTTCGGTATGTGTTCAGAAACGCGGACAATAACCATTGTCTCTGTTGTTCCAATGTATGTGCTGTGACAGGTACATGTAAATTCGTAGACGCATTCCAAGGTAACATGAGGAGGGAGTGTGTCCACTTTTGATTGTCTTAGACAACTAGTAATTTGATAAAAAATATATAAGCTTGTCAGTTGCATATGTCTTTTACAAAGCAGTGTTCAGTCTAAATCTTATTCTACTAGCGACATCATCATCATCCTTGAAGGCAAACCGTAGAATCATAGACTATTTTTCCGCTGTGCTGCAATTCACTTTTTTAGCACTGCGTTTCCTATATTTCTCGATAAACTCCTGTAGGAAACCCCTGTCACCCAGTCATTTAACCACGATGGATATCTCTTCCTCGGTTTTTTCTTAAGAACAAAGCTTTCAAACGATATTTTGAAAAGATGGAAGAAAATACAGCTTCTCCATACTTGCGGCCTACGGAAGAGATTTTACTTAGCCTCAATACATGTAGGGAATTTCAGGGTGTGCTTTTTTGTCCCGCTTGGAACTAATCAGCTGAGTTTACCTGTATATGAAGCGACTTATATATTCTTCTAAATAAGACTCGAACCAAGCACTCATTGTTTCTCACATAGACCATTTCGACCCAATAATAATTTTTATTTTCGCTCAACTTACCAACATATTGACGTACACCGATAAGACCAATAAATAAAAATAACAGGACACTTGTATACTGATAATTTAAACGATCCGCAAAATCATCATCGAACTGTAAGCGTCTTGATCCAATACGTCCAAGTTTGGAGAGATTCCAGATGAATGCAGCATCCATTTAAACAGCCAGGCAATTTTTACTCTGAATAATTGAAAATCGAGCAGTTAGTATTGATGAGGTTTTGACGGGTTGAGTCTGGTTTATTGAATTCACGAATTCATTACTATTTTACAAGGAAGATGAATACAAAGAGAGGATAAAATCAATTTCACATATCCATAAAGATAGCACATAAGGTTAACTAAGAGGTAGCGACATTCTATAAGAGTTGGATACTTTAATTTCCTCACCAACTAGGGAGACATTTATGCCTCATCGGGAATTTTAGCCGTTACTAAACACTGACGAAACCAATTGCCTTGCCAGAAAGCTAAACAAACCATGACTGATTGTATACTGTTGTCTCTTTTGACATATTGGCTCCTCATATGCACACTTCAATGATATTTAGGGGTTTAAAGTGAATCGACCCTCATTGCCTAGTGAATAAAACTTTGGCTCTTGAAATGACTGATGTAGGGTTCAATCAAAGCCGTGTATACACTGGTGTTCCAGTGGTAGAATATCCGCTAATTACGCTGCACCTATGGACTCGATTCCTAGCCAAAACACACCTAAACCTCACTGAAATAGTGGTAAACTTATAAAATTATATTTGGAAAATCTCAGCGAAACTGAAAGGATTAATTACAACGTTTCTTGCGTTCAGAGATCTGGTCCAAACTTTTTCAGGGAAATTAATCGAAATTAACATAACAAAGGTTTATATTTATAAAAGGAACATCTCTTGTTTTTGAAACTTTGTCCAATCATGATACCTTCGTCATAATCAGGCCTAATTTTTTAAATGAACTTTTTCAATTAATAATCAATATGTCAGAAACCATCAAGTTTTCCAAAGAGGTTGAATCCTATGATAATGAGTTGGCGTTCCTAGACTGTTTAGTAAACAGAAAATTAGGTGGCAAATTTAAAATAAACATATTCAGAAAGCCAACAAATTCGGATAGATACCAAGACTTCTATTCAGCTCACCCATTTACCACCAAAGTAATTGTGGCCAAGAATCTGATCAATAGAGGCAAACGTCTTGTTACTGAGGAGGAAGATATTAGCAAGGAACTAAAATTGGTTCCATCCACTCTTGAATCAAATAATTATCCTAAAGACTTCATAAAAAGATATTTAAAATGTGATGATAAGGATGAATCGAAACCTGCTGCTAAGAATTGAGTTAGTAAAGCGGTGATTCCTTACCGCAAACAAACATTGGAGGAGATAAAGCGAATGCCTAATAATCATAACATTAGATTGTATTTACGTGCAAATGACACCTTACCCTTATCACTGGTGAAGGTTAAGGATAAAACAGAAGAAAACAAACAGAATTGTGTGTACTAGATCATTTGTGGGGACTGTGACGCCGTATATGTAGAAGAAACTTCCAGAGAGGTGAATGTAAGAGTGAAGGAGCCTAAACAATGTCTAAAGGTGATCCCAAAGACCTCTGCAAACCTGAAGAAGCTAGAAAACAACTCAGCGATTGCACTTCATTCAGTAGAAACGGAACACAAAATTGACTTTGATAAGACTAAGGTTTTACAGAAATCTTTTGGTTCAAATAAAGAAAGACTGACTGCAGAAGCCCTACATATGTGAGTGAATCCCAACAGTTTGAACAGACGTGACGGTGTACATGTTAGCTGATGCATGGCAAATCTTGACTAATAAATAAAAATTGGGTATGTATCAACAATTAGTCATACGTGGTCAACATTCCCGATTGTCTACATCTTCTTATGGAGAGAATAACAAATGTTATATGACTGTTCACCCACACACCATTGTATACTGCATATATACATATATTTTAACAAAAGTAGACTAATTTTGAAAGTCTGAGGTCAAATTTTGATCATAGTTCATACAATTTTTATTTATTATACATGTTGATACCTGTTTCAGCGCTCATGATTGGATAAAGGTTTGAAAAACAAGAGATGTTCCTTTCATGTATATAAACCTCTGTCATGTTAATTTCGATTAATTTCCCTGAAGAATTTCGGACCAGATCTCTGAACGCAAGAAACGTTGGAATTAATCATTTCAGTTTCGCTGAGATTTGACGAATATAATTTTATAAATGTCTACTTCTCACTCGGCGCTCAATTATTTTGCAACTATCTGGTCAAATCTTGACCACAATTCATATGAAGTGGTATACTTGTTAGAGAGGAAAAATGTAGTATGGAGCTAGCAACCCTACCTCGTATTGGACTCTTCAAGAGTGTGAACTGATAAGCTCATTAGTGATTGAACACAGAACCTTTAACTTTCACGATCAGTCTGTTAGCCGTCTAACCGTTCAGCTATGTGATAACTGGGACACTGTTTACCAAAACAGCTAATTTTTCTCCCTTCTTTATCTCGTTATGAGGAAGCCCATTTTTTCAATTTGTGTCGACGATTTAACTGTCTTCACTCATGTCAATTTCCAATCAGACTGTTCCAAAAAGGAATGCCTTTTTATCAAAATTTAGTCAGGGATGCTTGTCGAATGGTATTCACGTAAATCCTTTCTTCAAATATGACATTAGTAATTTTACCTTTAGACAAAAATGCGATTAACGCGAATTAGTTCGTTTCCATGATTCTTGCGTCACAGATGTTGAAACTAAGTGAAATGTTAAATACCTTGGATTAACACTGAGGAGGATAAAAGTTTGGTATCTGCGAAGGTAACAGCGCTAATTGAAACGGTTAGCTACGTCTGTGAACAAATAACTAAATAGTGAATAAATGTGAGGATAACCAGTGGAAATCCTCAAAGCGTCGTCACTACAGTGTACCATGAAAGTGAATTTTAAATTTGACGATGAGCTCTATAGACAGGTGGATGGATTGATTGACAGTGGGCTCTCCATTGGGTTCCGCATTAGTAGATTTATTTCTCAGTAAGTAATATAATAGTCTTCTAAACAACCTTATTTTATCACCAGTAAATCGATGACACCTTCATTATTTGTGAAAATGATTTGCATAGGAAAACTATAATATGAAGCACATTAAGCTATCAAAATTAGAGTCCCAAAGGTAAATGTTCCTTTCTAGGCGTCCAACTAACAAAAAATCGAGTGGTAGCATACAAAAGAATCTGCATTTTTCATGGCTTTTCATGGCTTTGTCCCTCTACGGTATAAAAGAAACTCGGTAAAGACCCTTAGCCATAGGGGCACAGCTATTTATTTAGAAAACGTGATTGCAGCTGAACTTAAGGTTCTTTACTACACGTTAAGTGAAAATAGCTACCCTGGAAAAGTCATCATTAAATACATTGAGAAGAGGATAGAATTGATTCTCCTGTATCTATTAGCCAGACCCCTGAATGTATATGCGACTGAGGTGATATTCATACCCTAACAATCAAGAAGCTGAGAAAATCTATTCAAACAACTTTTAATCCCGATAAGTTTCAGTTTGTATTTTCCACACAACCGGTTATAATTCCTAAACTGGAAGATGAAGTACATAGGCTAGTGATCTACAATTGTATCTATCAATTCAGTTGCTTCAATGAAGCTAGTTAAATTGGCTATTGGTATAGGAAATTAATTTTTCCTGTTGGGGAACACTTTTTATTGTGTGTGGTCTCAATGGGGGTGTTGTTCAAAATTGCCAACAGTTTTATGTATTAAGTCACTTCGTCCTAATAGACCAAAGAGTTAGCTAGCATTGAAGAGTCTTTCTCTATCGTTTATCGGGTATCGAATAAATGCCCAAAAGACCTCTATTAACCGAACACTGTAAACAACAGTAGTCATTACAATTCAGTTAAATCAACCGTAGCACTGATTGAGAAAGAAGCAGGTCCAGTTAGTTACGATCGCTAACCTGGTCTACTGTAGAAAATATGGATTCGTTAATTCTGTGTTACTTCCCTTATTTTATTTGATCATGAGTAAGTTTAGTGTGTTATATTAATGCACATTATCTCTCTGTTACTGATGTCTTTGATATGTGACCCATTGATGTTAATGATTCAGTGTAATTTAAAACAGCATGAATGTTGTGAGTAACAGTATTTTTTTAATTGTCACTCCCATTCATCGACTTTCAAAGCTTCGTGCCCGTAAGCAGAAAAAGGAACCTTATATACGCTCTTACCTCGAGGATTCAGAAGGTATGCGGGGAGGAAGTGATCGACGAAGGCCTGTGTAATCTCCAAAGAACCCTGATGGATAACGGCTTTCCGACTAGGTTCGCTGATAAGGATTTCAAATCTAATAAGACTTCCAAAACAAGTCCAATCCGTCCCTACTTAAACTAAAATTCAGAGGTGACATTGAAGCCGCCAGCTTCCGACTGACGTTTTCCCGCAAGAAACTGTTCAGCCAGAATGCGAAAGACAAGCTGTCGCACTGAGCCATTTCAGCATGCATATACCATTTTATTTGCTCATGTATAGCTGAGTACATGGGCCATGCACCATGCACCAAATTGAAAAACGCGCTTCTGAACACTGTTCAGCCTGGATAGTAATATGAGAACGAAAACGGCTATATAGTTCAGTGACAGAACATCTGGTCAACTCAGGACATTCAGCGCCATTCGAAAAATCTTTCAAAATAATATACAAGATTAGATCAAACCTATCAAAGGGAGTAAAATTAGGACATCTGGGCATAGCCGAGGCACTAGACATCCAAAAACGCATACCCACGCTTTTTTCCAATAGAAATACGTCCAACCCTTGTCATCAAAAACAGGTAATTCTTCTGATAGTGACTATCACATTGCCTTTGTTATCCGAATTTCCTGTTTATTCATGTTATTTTAAATTTTTCTTGTTCCCTATTTACACTAAGATATTTTCATATCTGAACTTCTTGTCTATTTCGTCATTTTATTATTTCTACATAAACAATTATTTGTCACATTAGTTATAAACCTACTAGATTTTTTGTCCGAACATCCTCTATATTTTTGTTATTTCTGCATTTCTAACCCCTAATTGCACAATATGTCAATCTTCTTAGTAATTATGCTGCCATTTTGCTTGAGTTTTATCAGCCCTATCCCCCTGTTTATTATGGCATTTTAATTCCTAACTGTAATTTCAATAATTTGACCCTTGATAAGAAATTATTCTGGAACTTTCTCACCCATTTACTATAAATACACGAATGTACAGTTTAGTTGATGGTGGCTTCGTCGAAAAGAAAATTTTCTTCGCTGCAACTGCCTTTTTACTATTCTCTATTCTTATATGAATATAAAACCCTATGACAAGTTAATCGAAAAGGATATTCTTTGTTCATTAATCGGTCATTTAACGTGTTACGTAAAGAGAAAATTAGAGATGCAATATTGTACTATTTACTCAGAATTCAACAGTGTGACAACACAAGGCAAGACACGGAAGCCAAAGTATTATTTTCAAGTAATCGAACCGCTTTTTATATATTCATACAGTTTTAGATTCTCTAACCAATCATTGAGCGTGTGATTTTGACTTACATTAAACGAGATGAATAGATATATCGTACTCTGTTGCTAATGCTGTATTCAACTGTGGGAATATGTGAAAAATGGCTATCCTGACAGATTTATCAAGAAAAACATGACAATGAAAGCGAAAAATTATTACTCACAATCCACTAACAAGAAGCCTTTATATATATACGACTGGAATTGAAGGGCGATGTACCAAGTGAAATAAGCATGAAGAAATTAAGAAAATCAGTTGCAAGAACTTTTAATGCTGGCGAACTACACATCGTATTCTCTACACGACCGATGGTGATACCTCGACTGAAAGATGTAGTACCTAGACTAGCTAGCCACCTCCAATTACATCTAGCAATTCAACTGCGCTTGTGCAGCGAGTTGTACCTGCCGTCGCTCTAAGAACTTGATTTTTCTTGATCGGGAACATCTTTCAGTATGGCTAAGTAAAAGTGTAGCAAAAATCATCAACAATTCAGTATTATAGGATTTCATCATGAGCTAACATTAGTTAGAGAACCATTGGAAAACCTGGGAGTACTGGACAGATGTTTCGTCCTAGTTTGCGACTCTTCATCAGTAGGCGCTCACCGGGATTCGAACCCAGGACCTTCTGGTTACAAGGACAGATAGCTTGTATACCATTAAGCCACTGGGACCCGATCCAGTGGTCCATGAATTCAAACTTCCGCCAATTCACAATATAGCGCAACCGCCAGCCTATTAGGGTAGGTAGTAACCTGGGGTTCCAGTGAGAAGTTGTGACCTGTAGGGTGCAGCAGGTCGGGTGTGAGAACAAATACTCGCCGCCAAAGACATTGGCTAGGGGTCGCGCTATGTCATGAATTGGCCGAAGTTAGAATTCATGGGCCATTGGATCGGGTCCCAGTGGCGTAATGGCATACGAGCTCGCCTTGTAACCAGAAGGTCCTGGGTTCGAACCCCGGTGTGTGCGTACTGATGAAGAGTCCCAAACTAGCTGGAGGAAACAGCTGTACAGTACTCCATGCAGGTTTTCCAATGGTTCTCTAACTAATGTCAGCTCATGATAAAATCCTGTGAACCAATCAAATCCCTACAAACCAACACTTGAATTTAATATTAGCCTATCTGGTGCAAACCGGACACAAAGCCAGCATTGAAGAATCCTTCTCTATCATCTACTGGGTATTGTCAGATAAATTGCCAAAATCATCGAAGTACAGCATGCTCCAAACAGCAGAGGATATTGTAATTCGCCTCAAACAACCAGCGCTTCGTGTGCAAAAGAAGCAAATCCAGCCACTGCTACTGCCCTGACTGGCCTTCAATAGACACTAGAAATCCATGAATTTGTAACATTATCTTTCCTAATTTTTCTGACATTCAACTTATTTTACGCTGATGCTAGTGAGCTGTAATCTATCAATATTATTGATTCGATGTTATTCAAACAGCATTAATGTTGTTCATAACACTAATTCATTCATTCATTCACTATAATGTATGTATAACTGTAGAACCTGATGAACAGCAGGTTATCAAAGATGAGTACTCTTTTTTCAGTAACCATTCCTTAAAATTATATTCCGCTGAAACATACTGTCTGTATCACACCACCACCACAAAAGTACTTCATGAAATAAAGCTAGCATCACTGTTATGATCAAGTTAGCCTGATAATCATCTTCCACTGTAAAACTACCTCTGTTATCCTATCGACTGCTCAGAAAACCCAACTTCTATTCAAGTGGTCATTACACTTTTGTCTTGTATTACTGATTCCACGACTCAAAATGGAGACATCATGAATGTCATATTCTAAAATGGCGTAACGTCTCTTTTATTGTAGTGAAGACTTGATTTTCAAAGTCATTCACACTCACACACGCACACACACACACGCCAGAGGAAAACATAAACTATACAAAATCTGATTGAGAAATGCATTTGGCGTTGTTGTTGTTGTGGGTGTTATTGTTGTCCCTACCACAAAACAAATCTTTTCGACAGCCGAAAGGAGTCTATTCCCCTGAGTATAAATAACCAGTGAACAAAATAAAAGAATCCACAAAAAAAAAGAAACTATGAAACAAACATGCGTGGTATACACACAATCAAACAATAACTTAATTTACTTTTCAAATGAAAACTTCAAAAGCTAATTGAGTAAAAGAGAAGGAGTTTTGTTCGCTTTTTATTCTGTTCTCAAAAGACTTTTCAAACAAAAAAAGACAGTCTTCTTTGCATTGATTTCTTGCCGTTTGTCGTTATTACTGATGTTGTCGTTGTTGCCGTTGTTATTACCATCGTATAAAGCTGAAATTTTTTTTTTAATTTGTAATGGCAGATGGAATTAATCAGAGCAGAGTAATAAACACACATGACTCTAATTCATAATATCTGAATATTTGTGCGCATATGTGTGCGTGTTCGTGTGTGTTTTTTGTGTGAACGGTGAGCAGAGAGGACAGTTTTCGAAAGGATCAAATTCGTACACTTCATCCTATTTGGGATTAGTTAGTTGGATGTACCCGTCATCCTTGGTGAGAAGTGATGTTCACCACTAACATCAATCGTTTCAACACACCAGTTGACCACTTGAGCCACGATGATCACTTCTAGTGCAATGGATATCAGTTGTTGTTTGTCAGCAGAGGCTGGACACTTCGTTTTAGTCAATAATAATAGCTTCTCTTCAAAAATTGAAAACAATTTGTTCCCTTTATGAATGTAGATAAAGAAATAAGAAGACATAATTTCTCTGAATCGTGTGTGTAATGTATTTGCGCAAAACATTTCAAACAATCTGATCGCACACGGACTTGTCATTGAAATATATATGAAATTAATAAAGAGTTAAGAGGTGAGAAAATAAACTACTTAGGTCAAGTTAAAAGGACATATTGAAGGTCAAAATAACGAAGAAGACCACTAAACCAAATAGCAGCGGTAATAGTACATCTGCTACGATATCAAAACAGAATTTATCAAGGAAGGTTTGGTGTGATGACGAATTGTTTTTGAACACAGCAAGGTGGTTTAAACTTCCTAATTGCCAGCTAGGGCTTCCACAAACTTTAGGATACGCCCCAAACACGTTTTATAGATAGGTTTAAAAGATCTGTTAACGTCAATTTTATGTCCTGTCTGTATTATATGTTTCGCAATAGAAGAGCTACGTCTGCTGTTCTCATCAGTAATGGGTTTTGAAGATTACATTTGTTTTTGGAGCCATTTATGAATATGCTCTGAAGACAGCCATTACTTGCAGAGATCGATGAGTAAGTACTCCCTATGTATGTGTGTAAACATATACACTGAAACTGGTGGGATGTGGGATCATTTTTCGCATGTTCAAAGGGTTTAGATGGATATATCGGTTTTACAATCCTAATTATTATGATATTATCTGCATAAGAAGTCATTTTAATAGCAGCATTGAATCTCTGTCTAGTTATCAAGCTGTTATGATGCCCTATATAGGGTAGGCAGCTTGATGTACACATCTTTCTTTAGAGGCGAGCTGTAGAGTAGGTCGTGGTGTTCTGACTACTTTTCATATATATTGTTATGACAAGTCCATGTATGGTGATATTGTTCGGTGTGTTGCGCAAATACATTACACAATTCAGACAAATTACGTCTTCTCATTGCTTTATCTAAATAATGGCTTCATTCCAAGTAGTGCTTTAAATTACATATATATATATATATATATATATATATATATATATATGACAAAGAAGATTTGTAGCTCAGGTGGATGATTTTGATGTGGTTGTGTTGTCTGAGATGGATAGGTGATTTGCGAAGCTTTCATCGCCCTACTGGGTGACATCTTCCTTGAGGGCATACTTCAATTTGAATTGAAGTGAACTTTTAGATTTCATCACGAGTTTATTAATCATCTCTTCCGGTGGGTGACCTTGAACGTGATTGGTTGTTTTGTGTGTTTTCACACACTCTAGCCTACTTGTATTGGAACTGATTGTTTCTTTGTCTTGAACTTTGACCCTTTGCAGCACTCTCACCTTAAGGAAAACTGAAGAGCGACATCTCACGGATGTCTTGCAAAAGAATGGATATCCACAGAATTTCATCAAAAGACTTATACTCCCCGAAGCCAACCTATCAAATCAAAAGCCCCCAAGGAAAGCACAAGGCGAATCGCCCTGCCATATATGAAAGACATCTCAGAGATCACTGCAAGACTCTTCATACCTCTAGGAATTGAGGTTGCACACAAACCAACAAAATCACTTCACTCAGCTGACTGTGTGTCAACCAAAAGACTCAACAAGGAAAGAAGATAAAACCAACATCATCAACAAAATAAATTGCAACAAGTGTGAAAAACACTACATTGGCCAAAGTGGACGTCCCCTCTGTCTTTGCATCCATGATGATAAACTAGCCGTCAAAAAGCATGACATTTACTCCCTAACTCATATCGCTGCATACAGACAATCACAGACATCAATTCGATTGGGACAACGTTCAAATATTAGACAGAGGAAACACCAAGAATACTAAACAATTTTTAGAAGCCTTCTTGCTATTCCAGTGAGTGGTCAATTGATAGACACATCGATACAGACATAATTTAACAATCGATGAGAGAGAAATCTCACATATAATGAGTCAAACTTTAGGTAAAGGAAACAATCGACACCACTGCCAATACAAGTAGCCTAGAGGGGTGTGAACACACACAAAAGCAATCAATCACGTTGAACGTCACTCACGAGGAGAGACGAATGATACACTTTTGGAGAAATCTAAAAACTCACTTCAATTGAGACTAAAGTATGCGCTTAAGGAAGATGTCGCCTAGTAAGGCTATAAAAGTCTTGTAAATTAACTATCCAGCTCAGAGAACACAACCACATCAAGAACATAAATATATATAAGTTTATAGAAATAGTGACTACAATACATATGAATATGACTGGAAGAAGAAGAAAAAGTGGCGTTTATTTACTATTAGAAATCCCTACAAACTAACTTTTAAAAATAATTTTGATGTTTTTTTGGTAACTTGTTAAAGGGCAGAGTCAGTATCTTGAAGTTCTAGTGAGAGGTTGTAACCAGTGGGATCTACCGTGTGAAGAGTGAGTAGGGATACTAGGCGATGACTCTGACTGGAAATCGCGTTACATATATCGTGAATCCATAGAGTTTGGAATTCATGAACTGGCAATTGAACTTGCCTTGTAAACGGAGGGTGTTAGGTTCACACTTCTGTGGAGTGTGACTAATGATACAGAGTCCCTAACTAGGGTGAAATAACTGTCCAATACTCCTTAATGTTTTCATTAGTTACCTTGTGACTGAACGCGAAGTAAATCAAAACCCTACAAATTAAGGCGCTTAAAAATATGACAACTACTTAGTAGTTTCATGAGTAACACTTTTTTCATCACATAAAATGTGCGATAAATAAGTCATTTTTGTTTATTTATATTTATTCTCCCTACTTGATGGGATGCAACGCGAGACATGCGTATAAAGTGGATGCTGAGTGTCTAACAAGGTGGCTTTGATGAATTTCTCGCATGAATTTTAATTCCTTTCCACAACAATATTTATGAATCAACTTAGTGACTATAACACTCTGCCTACCAACAGCTTTTAGTAGCCTATGTTATGTAACAGTCTTTTTTAAAGTAGCCTAGGGAAGATTAAGCAGGCGTGGAGCTAAAGATGAATAGTTAGAAGGCGAGAATTTAAAACTATTAAAGCAGAGTTTGAGTGATATACGAATATTCATCAACAAGTATGGAAGATCGGAAGTCTCAAGTGTGAAACAAATCACAGTGGGTAAAAAGCCAATCTACATTCAGCTTGATTATATAGGTGAAAACATTGGAGCAATTTATCAACAGAAGACTGAGTACATCACTAACCATAGCTCGTCCGCGTCTATCGAACAACTTGCTCTTTGGTGCAATCAAAAATCGATAGATATCCTTCTCATGTTAACTCCAATTGTATATACAAATTTACATGTATCTGTGGGAGCAGTTATATTGGAAGAACAGAAAGAAGGATATACCTACGATTTTTTGAACAAAAAGCTTATGTCTAAAGAGAAAAAATGCTTTAAACAGTGCCATCGCCTGGCATCTTCTTGAAAAGGGTCATCAGGTCGACTTTGCCGCAAAATCATTCAAAATTTTCAATATGCATAAGAGCTCAATTCTCCTCAAGTTTGCTGAAGCCATTTCCATCAAGTGCCTGAAACCTGATTTGTGCGTCCAGAAAGTAGCGGTTATCGGCATTTCTTTGCTCTGCCTGGTAACTGGATATTTTCATCTCTCTTTCATCTGAATGCGTAATGCTGAAAAGTTTCTATTGTGTATGATTATTATTATTATTCAGAATAGTGTTTAATATTGCATATATATTATTACTGTATACATAATTGATTGATTTTTTGTTTAAAATGAACTCTGTGTGGGCAAGTATGTCAAAATTGTTTTTGTAGATATACTTAATAATGACTGTGGCCTGTAGGCAGCTGATGAGAAGGCAACGAAATAAAAGATGATACCACTGTATTCTGTAAAAACTGTAGTTCTTGCTTTGTTCAAATTCATTAGGGGAATAAATGTATTTAATTTCTTAATTAAAGGGTTAGACGACTGCTTTCTATCCGAACTGAATTCCTTAAATAACATAGAAGCCTGGCACTCTAGTTAAATTATTAAAGTATCTAGTTTTCTATAGAGTGTAACCATTTTAACTAAGTCTCCGACGAATAATCTTTTAGGATGTGCGCTGCTGGATAATTTTCATTATACTGATGGGCGTTAATCTTTAGAATAGACACTACCGTCGGGATATGGAGGGGTTGCACAACATATATCATCGAGTGAAATATGTATACTATAGATTACCATTTTACTTCGAGGTTCTGTATTACATTTAAATTTAATGTTCATAATTAAGTTATGGTTTCTCAATATTAAGGAACATTATACTACTTATGAATATAAGTAGTATTCTAGTATTCAGGGAAAAAGTAAGTTTCAGAGCAAGTACATCAAAGAGCATATTCGTTTACTTACTAAATAAGAGACGGTTTCAAAAGTTATCACAAAAATAAACAATTTATTTTCAATACTTGGTTTCTAAGTATTAGATTGTTTTCCCGGAGTTTCCTGGAGTTCTAGTGGGAAGTCATGACCAGTGAGATACATGCAGTCAAGTGTGAGGATGGATGTCCCACCGATCACACGGGCTGGTGGTCGCGGTAAATCATGAATTGTTAGAATTAATGGGCCATTATATCGGGTCCCAGTGGGTGAGTAGTGCCGATGATTCTCAAACAAGGATGAAACAACCGTTCAGTACTCTAGGGTTGGTTTTCAATGGTTCTCTAAATGATAAAAATCTGTGATCAACTCGTAAAAACAATTTTTTGACAAATAATACTCACTTGTGACGTAATAAGTTTTAAATAATGGCGAAGATTTGTAGCTGTGTTCCCTAAGCTGGTTGATTTCATTGCGATGCTTTCGTCATCCCCCAACTAGACAACATCCTACTTCAGTGCAAGTTTTAGTATAAAATGATTTTATTTAAATTCTCCACGAATGATGGTATAATATTATCTCCTGGTAAACACTATCGTGACTAGTTGTTAATTTACATCTCTATTGATCCTATTTTAATTGACTTTGAATTCGAACTTCGTTGTCATGTGATTTATCTTTTGTGAGGAATGGATGTCCTCAGAATTTCATCAAAAAGTGTTTAAACTCGAGTCATAACATCAACAGCAAACCGAAATCAAAGAACACAAGAAAATTTATCCTACTATATATATAAAGAATATCTCTGAAATAACAGCTAGAATACTGAGACAGTTTG